AGTGAAAGCAAGGGCATCCGCAAGGTCAGCGGCCGTGTTGGCAGTGTTGGAGCTTCTCCGAATAGAGTGAAGTGAATATGGACGCTAGTCGTCGTTTCTCTGTGCTGAGTGTTTTGGAAAGAGCTCGAACGTCGAGCTATGATTTTTTTTTCTCGCCATTGACAGCGTTTTTTGGGGGGTTCACGGTACCTGTTCATGTTTTTCTGATACCATTCCTGCCTGCTGGGCCAACAAACGAACAAAAAAAAGCGTCTCTGCATATTCTTCTTCCAGTACATTGTAATTGTGTTGTTTGTTGTTTTTGGGTATTGCGTTGCGGAAGGGAGGTTGATCAGCACTCGGGTTTGATCACGGGCGTTGTCTTTATTTTTCTCTTCGGGATACATCGTCTCGTGTTTATCGTTATTCTTTCCCCACTGCCCCGTCTTTTTCTTTTCTTTTCTTTGGCGGGGTTGATTTGTTGATTTGTTGTATTTGTTTTTTTTTTTGCTTTCCTTCTTTGACGATGATGATGATGACGATGTGCCAGGATGGTCGGACCTCCTAGCTAGCTAGCTAGCTACCTTGACAGGACAGAACAGACAGACAGACAGACCAACTTAAGTATGGGTTTGGTTTTGTTTGGTTTCGGTTCGGGTCGGTTCGGTTCCGAGATTTGAGTGAGAACTTCCATGGCCTCTTTTCTTCATTTTTTTTTCGGATAGCGGAGGTGTTGTCGGTTGAATTGATTAATTCATTCATTCGTTGACTTGACTTGACTTGACTGATTAATATTGATTGATTGATTGATAGAGTAGTAGTACCTTCTTTTTCCTTTCTTATCCGGTCTGACTTGACCTCTGTTTAGTAGGTCTAGGTCTAGGTCTAGGTTACCTACCTAGTTACTGGTATGGTATGGTGTGGTATGGTATACGAGCTTTTTTTTTCACGGGGAGGAAGGAGCAGTATTACTACTAGCTGTTTTGACTCAGCTGGACATTATCTATCTATTTATTCATTCATTTTCTTATTTATTTATTTTAGCTACCTATCTACCTATCCATCTGTCGATCCATCATCGATCGATGCTATCTGTCTGCCTTCCGTGGATCAGAATGATGGCATTTGTGCAAGGTTCCCAAGGCCCGGCTGTTTTAAAGTCTGGTCTTCTTGTGCACACCTACTTGGTTGAACGGGGGTGCGCGGACGGCTATTTATTCCCTGCCTCACTCGTGTGCTTGCTGTACTACATGATCCTGATGACTCTGGCATGTAAGGCTGACCAGTCAGCCTGTGCCGAAAGAAGTGGGAGATCGTGTAACATGCCCTCCCTTTAGGCTCACCTCAATGTCAGCATGTCATCATCCATCCTCAAGCAACGTCTCCCTCATGGACACATTGTTCCTCGTTGTCGCCATCACGGCAATCACGTATATGAAGAGCACGACGAAGTCGGGGGGGGGGGGGGGGGTAAAGTACGTGATGCAGCAACCCTCCGCAGTCTGATCAGACTGGATGTTATGCTTTACAGCATAATTGTGCCTACTGCACAAACAGATGGAATATTGTTGAGTGGCGGTTAGGGGACAGTTCGAACGGCATTCCACGATAAATATCATCGTAATGGTATTGTCTGTGGTTTGCTCATATCGTACACGACTCTCAGTCCTTCCATTCCCATGCTCGAAGCCACCAGATCTAGCCATTCGTTAACGCGAGCTTGGGCCTTGAATCCGTCAGAGTACTGATCATGTCTCAGCCCGGAAACGATCCGGAATGGGCGACAAACGGGGGCGAAGCGCGAATCTTTCACTCGAGGTAGTAATACCGAAGACGGTGCAGAGCCCGCTGTCGGGTTAATGGTCGTCATCTCAATGGCGGCGAGATCAGCCAGGAGTAGGTCGAGAACAGCGATCGTCGTGTCCGTCCCTCGAAGCAGACAGTTGGCGAAGGACTCGGGGAAAGACGACGCAATGGGACCAACAAACGAAGCGTCACCCAACCGGGATAAGTAACCGTGAACTGAAAGGGCCGTTCGCATCTCTGCGGCAAGAGAACGCGTAGTCTCGCGACAGTTCCAGATGCGGGCCGCAAGGAGCTTGATCTTGGTTGGCTGCCTGACGGGGGACGTCATCAAGGCGCGCGCCTCACTGACAAGGCCCGGAAACTTGGCGATTTCCATGAAGATTCGGTCGGAGATGTCGATGAAGACGGAGATGGGTTCATCGACTCTTGGATCGTTCATATCCTCCCGACGGATTCGATCGATCAGGGCTTGCCACTCGGGCTTCTCGAAGATGCACAGCTTGCCCTCGACGAGAGCTTGTGCGACCAGAAAACTGCGAAAGGACAGGTACAAGCAACGATCAAAGCCAGTTCGGTGGACGTTGGGGCCTCGAAGAGACATCATCAACGCCGTCCCTCCCGCGTGTCGAGCCCAGGAATCGTCCTTGGTCATGGAATACGCCTCAAAGAGGCTGAGCAAGATGGACGTACTCACGCTTTCGCGGGACTTCAGCATGGACTCGTCTGCCACGGAGTCTTTGAGCAAGGTCATCGCCTTGGAATACATCTCCCAGCTCGATTGCCGCAGTCGGGCGTCATCGTGGTATTGGCCCATGAAGGCACAGGTGATGCAATAGATAGCGGCATCGAAGGCCTGATTGCGCCCGAGCTGCTCGACAACGTAGCTGGCCCAAGTGACGCGGACTCGGTGCCTGTTCAGCCCGAACCACCGGGGAAAGGCCGATAAGACGAAATCGCGAAACACAGCCGATTGTTGGCGGCTCATTGACGTGGAGACCAGGGAGGGCAGAACGCGTTCGTCAATCGAATCTGACGGCAGGGCCTGTTCGCCTTTTACCCGTATTGTTCGGTGGCCGCGAGAGGCCCGGGTCCCAAATCGCTTGCGCAACAGCGGCCCCTCATCCTGGAACTTCATCGACTTGGAATACCCGGGACATGTGACGCCATATTTCTGACATTGGGAGCACTCTGGGCGAAGTTCGTCGCACTAGACATGGGGCACGATCAGCCACAAAAGCTTTGCTTATCCTCCAGGACATCCCACCTTCACGCGACGACGCAGGCACGTTCTACATCCTTTGCTGCGCGGGACACCGACCATGGTCGACGAGCGCTGAGGTCGTCACGCAGACCAGTCTTCAACAACACAAGAACCCACAACCCAGGAACCGGCGACGCAACAAGTCCGAGCGAGATTGGGGCTGCATCACTGAATTGGCAGCGGCACGATCGAAGGAGGCGTGGTGGGGAGAGGGGAGGTTCAGCACCAAGATGAGGGGGGCAGCAGGTCGCTTTGTGCGTAGTCGCTTAGGGCTGTGGCCAACCCAAAGGAAGAGGACATGTACAGTACAGAATGGAGGCAGAAGAAAACAGAAATTCGAGCGAGAGAGATGGACCTTGCTGTCAAGGCATCGGCGAAGACGTCTCTTTCTGCGATGCTCTTCGGTCAGTCGGTCAGTCAGGCAGGGTCTGGCAAGGAACGGGGTCCCAGGGACTTTTAACCGACTCCAACGGCCGACAGGCTTTGTCAGGACTCTGGCCCACGGCGGAGCTTACTGGTCAGATCCGCGCGGGTCTCGCCAGGCCAGGGTTCTGATAGCGGCGTCGAGATGCATCTGCGGGGAGACGGGAACGACCCAGCTCGCCGCCAGCATGCAGGTTTGCGACCTAGCGAGGCCCACCGGGGCTGCGGTGGCCGTGGCGAACGATCCAATCCCTGCAGCCCCTGCCCTGCTGCCATGTGTGCTGGACAATAACACCCAAGCCAGCTGATGCTCAGTGCAGTCGCGCGACATTGTTGGCGGCGGGAAAGAAACGGCACGGCACGGTGGAGAATGGCGAGGCTTGTTGGAGAACATGCAGACTCCGTGCTGACTCTGCTGAGTGCCCCGTATCGAGACCTTGCAGACTGCTTGCTTGGGCCTTGGGACAATGGGACGACGCTGGTGCTAGTGGGAGTGGGACAGCCTACTCCGTGGAGGCCTCTCAGTCTCGCCGGCACTGCATTCCGGGTGGTGGAGTGGAGGTACCAGCAGCAGCAGGGATCACGCCCTGGCCTTGCTCTCCATTCCGGGGCACATGAAGCTCTGCCGTCAAGAGCCTCGATGGAACAATATGATTGCAGTAATAATTGGCATCGCAAATCATCCTCGACAGTATCTCTTTGCCTGTGGGCCCGCAGCGCCCGCCGTGGCTGGCAGGAGGCATCACCCGTACCTGCCCGGTTCGGTATCATTCTTCATTAGGGCGGCCCAGCTGTCTCGGCGGCAGCTCCTTCCTCCGCAACTCGCGTCGGGATCTGGTCAAGCCAGCCTCTCCCGTGAGCTCGAGAGCACGCAGCAATGCTGAATAGATTTATTGGCATCATTCGTGCCGTCGGGAGATCCGCGATTGCCCGTACGATCCGCAAGTCCCGAGTGTGCTTTGCTTCCTGACTCCCGCCACGGTCCACCCAGCACGTATTGTGACGGGTCCTGCAGATCCGATTTGCATTATTACCATCCACCTGGGAGTACGGCCATACACCTTGCCTTCGCGCGTTTCGCCCTCATAACAGTCGATTCTGCACTTGTCTAGACTGCAGAGTGCTTCCCTCTCTTCAACCGGTTGGGTCATGGTGGTACAGGCCTAGTGTATGCACCCCATCACCTGCAGATCATCGACAGTGGACTCGTCGACTACCGATCTCCTGTAGCGGCTGCACATACCTAGGTAGCGTGACATCCCGGAGCCTCGCCAACTCGTACCACTCAATAATCGATGCCTACTGGCTTGACGGGCGGCGCAGCGGCTGATAAAAAAAAATAAAGGTAAACTAATAAAACAACCAACGTTAAATGCACCACAACAAACGCCGATCATCACAAAAGATTTGTAATTAGCTCTTTGTCAAAGATCCCCTCGTTGGAAAAAAACAAAGGCGATGACTATTCCTCGTATTCTGTTCAGGTATGTAGGAATACCTGGTCGCTTCAGTCCTGAAGCTGTGATTTTTTTCCCCTGGCAGACGATTCTGCCTTCCCAAATCGGCAGGTACATACATAACTACCTAATCCGACAGACGCCGTTTCTGCCTCCCAGAACTCGGCAACAACACCAACAAATGTTTTTTCTCCCGTGCCTTGTATGTACCTTAGGGTGAGATTGCATGCTGGTGATAGTTGCTGACATGATTATTCCTCCATGACAGGTTCAGCCGACTCAGCAGATAGTCCCGTCTGTCGCTAATTCTACGAGAACCATCTCCAGTTGACATCATTCTCATGATCCTTCAGCAGAGACGTATCCACGTCCTGAGGCCGGATACGAACCCCTTGCTCTCGATCCCGCCGGCGGTTGTCGTGCTTCATCCATAGACCAAGTCCTAGCACAAGCATGATGCTCGTCGCGGCACACGCTGCCGTGGCTGCCAACGTCGGTATATAATTGGGTGCATACTCAACCCGGAATGTCGCGCTGCCGAGGATTCCCCCAAGGTTGGCTAGACCGACGAGGATACCCGTGGTGACGGCACGCGAATTCTCGCTGATATTGTTATTGTTGTGCCACGAGTGGTAGAGACACGAAGGGATGTAGGCGCCCGACGCGAGGAGGAACATGGCAAAGAAGGCGACGCCTTTGTTGGTCTCCACGTCGGTGGTGGCGAGGATGATCAGGGAAACCAGAGAGAGCGTCAGCGCGAAGCAGATATGGAAGGTTCGCTCGCGGAAGTAATCCGACGACTTCGTGACCACGAGAAGAACGCAAAAGCCAGCCAGGTTTGGAGGCACGGTCATCAGGTTCGTCTTGACGACGTCGTAACCCAGACGTTGAACGATCTAGAAGACATCAATTAATAAGGGCCCGCGAGAATGACATTGTATAGGTACCTACCTGTGGAAGAAAGTTGGACGCCGTGGTGAACGGGACCGGATAGGTGAGCGCGATGACGGCCCAGATTATCATCTTCGGGTCCTTCCATTGCCTGAAGGCGAGCTTCAGGTTGAAGTCCTCGCCCACGTCCTTGGAACCGTCCTGCAGAGAACGAACTCTTGCAACGTCTTTCTCGGCCGAGGTCAGCCATCGCGCCTCCTGCGGACTGGCTGGCAGCCAATAGTACCCAAAGAGCGAGAGAAGCACAGTGATTCCGCCTCTAACGTCGGTCTTAGTGTGAATTTATAATGTGAAGAATTCCGGACATCCACTCACTCGATGATGAACAGATACTGCCATCCTTTGAGCGCCGTATTCTTAATCTGAAAGACCCCATAAGCCAAGATGCCCGAGAAGGCGGCTGCCAGCTCTGCGCTGCCGAAGATGAGGGCGATGCGGAAGCCGAGCTCGTTGCGCTTGTAGAACAGGGTGAGATGGAAGATGGTGCCTGCGTAGAAGCCGGCTTCGAAGAACCTGTAAGCACTCAGTATCCAGATCGACAATAGATTCTTCTGACAGCAAGACCGCAGTTGGTTACGGACCCGATAAGCAAACGGATGACGAGCATTCCGCCAAAGTTCGTGCACGCGGTTTGGATCATCGATAAGCAACCCCAGGCCAGCATCAGCGAGGGAAGTGTGATTTTCCCGGAGAACCGCTTTGTGAGCAGATTCAGAGGTAGATCTGCATTCCTTCAGGTCAAACTCCTTGTCTGCAATGCGATCAAGTTTTGAGTCTTCACTCACCAGCAAGGCCATTCGGAACATAGAACAGCAGCAGCAGAAGGGAGTATTCATTTCCCTGGAAATGCATATCCGTGTCGAACCCGTCCGTTTTGGCGTTTGACAAATTAGACTGAAGACGCGATCAGTACAATCAACAGCTCCTAACTCTGTGGTGCTTCTCACCCGATCGACAGAGTTGAACAGATACATCAGCGACAAGAACGGGAGCAAGTAAAAATCCAACTTGCGGAGGTATGACCGCTCTACCGCTTTGTCGATACGGTGGTGGATGGTCTGGATTTCGCCGTCATTATTCGTGGTGGCCAGGCCCAGTTCATTGTCCACTTTGACGTCGTCTGTCGTCGACAATGCGGGGGCCGTCTTTTCCTCAACGTCTGTCGACATGCCGGCGACAAATGGATATCGGCCTTCCTTTTTACCCCTTATTTGTTCCTGTTGTGACGCAGGAAAAGCTCAGAATATTCGACTTTGCGACCGGCACCTTGCATTGGTATATGTATTAATACTGGGCTTGGACTTTCGAAGTTCTACCTATCTATCGCTACGTGTATTGTCACACAGCCTATCGGTAGATGCAATTAGCCTATCTTCCATGGATAAGTAAGTACACGGAATGTCCTTTCCGTTTCTGGAATCAGAGCATGCCGCCAAGTTCACGGTGATAAGGACTAACAGTACGCGATGATCCCTAACCAAGCGCTAGGTAGGTACCTAAGTACTTATACTGCGGAGTGCCTAACTACGGAGCATGTATAAGCGAGATTTAGCTACTGATAAGATAGGGACATATTACTCCGTGGCGAGATAAGAATAGAATCACATTCTCTTATTCACGGAATCGGCAGTGAAGTAATCTAAGATCGGTTTCGATTATATCTACAGCCATTAAAAAAGTACAAACATACAGCACATTATTTATGAATAGGCATGGATCTCTAGATGTGTACTGTTTATGTACATATGTTGGTACATAAATGCCGGGAGTGGGGGGAAGGCGAGGAGAGGAGAAGTGGGGGATTGGGGGCGCTACATATGTCAGCTGAACATGTCCATACACACCTCACCTCCTCGTCCTGCTGTAGCGGACTGGCTGACTCTAGGTACATACGTACATGCATAACCGTATGGTTTATTAGTTACTTATTTTCTAAGAACTTTCTCTTTCGAAGTCTCAAGGTCTTAAAGGCGGCGATGGATGTATTATTTTGTATCTTCCTGGTATGGTCGATTAGTATTCTCAACAGACGCCTAAGTATACTATTTTTCCAGCTAAACCATCCATAGAGCCCAGAGTTAGGACATCATTTGTGCAAAATCACATTATTTAAATCTCTCCCTCTTTGTTTTAATGCCTCTGATTACTTTTCTATTAGTATAATCCTTAATAAGCTATTACTCTAGTTACAATCTTTTATTAAAGCAGTAATAACAGCTACAGTTCTGCTTTCTGACTTCATTTCCACAATTAGATTTGACTCTATTTCCATTATCGACGTCACGGCCAGCTCGGCCTCGACAAAGACGCCCGTTTGGATTACATAGAGGATAATCCAAGGCAATAGCGGCAATGTGGTTTAATGGCTGCAAATTTTCCCTTTCTCAAATTGATTCCTTTCTCCTCGGCTCCCTGTTCCTCGGTATAGTCCTTGGCTAGCTAAAAATTCAGGGGCCAATCCTGGCCAGTTCCAACAGTCACAGGTTCTCTCAATAAACGGTCTCACAAATGACGTGAAAAGTATTGATGGCTGCTTGCCCAGTGATGGTATATACTCTTATTGAAACGATAGTTTAGTAAATCTAAGGTTTAAGTAAGTAGGGTTAGGGCAAGCGCTACCAGGATTAAGATAGACGACCAATTTTCCATAGACGTGTAGATGGGATTATAGACTTTTTTGTTTTTTTTTTTTAGAAATTGAGGAAGATAAGATAATCGCTTGATTGTCATTTCTGATAGCCTGATAAAACCGCATCAAATTCGTACGTAAGAAGCAATCTATCCCACTGACTCACAAACAGAATAGTTCATCAACAAATCGATTTTCTAGCTGGAAAGGAGAGTGGGTGGAAGCGCTGGAGGTGGTCGATATCATGCCACTACCACCGTTTTCACAATCAAGACTGGTAAAAGAATGGCCACGTCTCGCTCGTTTTGGTCGGGAATCCTGGAAACTCCAGCCTGACGGCCAATCGATAATGGCGACCGCCTGGCTGTGATTGTTCTACCTGGAGGTTTTCAATCTCAGCATTCCTGGCCTTCTCGTTCTCTTGGAGGGTTTTTGTCCCCGCCCACAGAGTGCCCGGGACATTCCCCGTGACAGGCGGAATGAGAAGGACCACGATCCCGACTTCCATCCCGTTGAATCTGGAGCGTCATGCGAGAGCCAGAATCTTGTTGGTCGTGTTCGCGATGAGGAGGTTGATGGCAAAGGTCTGGCCCCGAGAAACAGTGTTGGGTGGCCCTTCCGCCCACAGAACGTGGAACCGGCCACTGTCGCCCTGGCAGAGCGCTTGATCTGCTTGGTTAGTCGATGCAGACATCTTTCTTGTATGTCTGCTGGAAGCAAGCGTAGATGGATGAATTGTGGAGAAGTCGGATTGCTTTAGAGGTATTAAGCGTGTGCTGTATCCCCTATCAGCACGTCTGTTGACAAGGAAAGCGAACAGAAATAATTGTACTCACCTAGTTTTGCAGTCGTCGTATGGAGTAGATCTCGGTATTATATTGAAGATCAAAAATGAGTGGCATTGGAAACCTTTTATAATACAGTCGTTACTTATAGAATTGTATATATGAAGTTTTATATCCGCCGGAAAACCAGAGTTTTGATGGTAACTTTCGGTCCATATATAGTATTTAAGATGGGTTTTACCATCAAAGTGGACTTTGTTGTCGGAGAAATAAACAAACAGACGTTAAGGCTATACTATTAACCTTCGTCTAGGAGATAAAGGATTTTCTTTTGTCTAAGAGATCCAGAAAAAAGGGAAAGTTCTTTCTTGCCTACTAGGATCTATGACCTCTGAGGGTTTTGATCCTTTACACAGGCTAGGACATAGGACTAGATGGTCTACGAAGGGCCACCAGGAAGCGTATCAGGGGGCAGCAACCAGAGTGTTTTCTTGATATCCCAACCGCATCACGCGCTAACTGCATTCTGCTATCTATATAGTACTATGACTAAAGTTTCCGGCGCGCCACTAAAATCCAATGCATTTTCTTGCATCAAATTCTTAACCCAACTTCTTCAAATCTCTATAATATGCCACCAAAGGCTCCTTTGACCCCTATCTTATTAAATTCTACTAATAAGAAGGAGCTGAGTCTATACCTATATAGAAACATTGTTGGTTAGGCTTAGGCAGGTCAAAAAATCTATAAAATTACAGCTAAGCTCAAAATCCCTTACTAAACTATATAATATACCCTTAAAAAAGATGCCTCCTATTATAAAGCTAATTTATTACCTTGCTCTAGTTGACCACAAATCCTTTCTCTAAGAGATGAACATTAGATCCTATAAGTTATTTGCCAGAATCCCAAGATCATATATAAAGAGCTCCAAAAAGAGGTAATAACCCCTACTTTACAGATGACTATCTATTAGATAGCCCAATACTATAATCTGGAAAAGTAGCTAGCCAAAAAATAGCCTTATTTGACAGAGGAATAAGCAAAGAAGTAGTTATAATAGGTAAGAGTATTGCAACTAGATAATTAATTAATAGAAGGCTGTTACACGCTGGGCTGACCTAAGTCACCGATACTTAACGTTGGTGGTTAGGGAAGGTTCACGGATCCAATCCGGGATCTCAACAGTGATCAACTCCAAGTAATAATCGATGAATAAGTAGTCAGGGTCTTCAAGTAACAAGGAACACAAGTGACTAGGTCAGGGCAACGCCTACTAAAGCTATACCAAAGGTATACCAATAGTAGTAAGATGTCTTACTGACCCTCCAAGTAAGTATCTTAGTAACTGTGATTGGAACTGAGCGCAATCTAGAAAGACTAGATACATGAGTGAGAGTGGTCCTCCTTTTATGTTCCTCCCTGGTTATACCATTCTGGATACCTTCCTTGGTATTTCTCATGGTACATTGTATACCATCCCTGTATACCTTCCATGGTATCTTTTGTGGTATGTTGTATACCATTTCTCGTAGTCCTCATGGTATGTTGTCATGTGATTCCTCACATCCTTGTCTGCCTCGCGGGGTATTGTTTCATCCTGCATCTCTGTGTTGGACAGCGCCTCATTTTGTTGGTCCGTAACATCGGCTATAATATAGATAGATAAGTATATGGTTGAATATAGTATAGGGAAGCAATAGGAATAGGTCTTTTGTATGCCATAATAGACCTAGGACTATACTATAATTGAGCCATATAAGAAAGGCAAGGATGTCAGCATTATAGTATAGGGCTACCTTTTAGGGATTTAGGTATTCTGAGATCTCTATAGTACTATATAATCCAGAGAGTTAATATAGAGGGGTATCATTAGCTTCTTACCTTAAATTACTAAAGGATAACCTCCTCTAGCCTTACTTTTATACAGGATAATACCCCAATCTATAAAGCAAAGATCATACAAGAATAGCTTAAAGAAATGGGCATTACTCTCATTGAATGGCCAGCATATAGCCTGGATCTCAACCCAATTGAGCACTGTTGGGCGCGGATTAAAGAATGGGTCAATAGTAGAACCGATAAAATTAGCGCGCCAAAAGAAAAAAAAAGGGAATCTGATAAAGAGATAATACTTCACGCTTAAACTAAAAGAAGATTTTGGTACCAGCAACCCTAACCTGTAGTCATCTGTACCAAGGAATGAAATATAGAATGATCATTTGCTGATCACTGAATATAGATAAATGGTATATTGAAGTTCCTTTGGTATAATTAATTGAACCGATAATTGCTACCTAGAACCTCAATAAAGCGAACTGTGTAGGTAAACAGGGGCAGACCATTTATCATTACTCATACACAAAGGGAATCACATATCTAACGTGCCATGTACTCATACAAAAAAGGAATTGACCTTGAACTCATCACAGCCCCATGGATCCTAGCCACTTCCAAATTGATAGGAGCTTATCATTGCCCATCGGGTTTACACGTCAACTGCCATTCTCCCGACCATTTATTTCATTGGCATTACCATTCGTACCATTGGCATCACCACGCGTAGCACTGGCTTCGCCATACGTTCCATTTGCCAAACGGCGCTCGAGCCTGAAGGTCCGTCTGTCAGATACGCTGCTGTATCCGTCTACCTCCACCTCCACCTGAAGGGTATACTGCCGGCCAGAGACCAGCCTCCTGTTTTCACGGATTCTGAGGTCCTCGATCACGAAATTCCCACCATCAGCGTTGTCCATAAGAGGGAGCCCCTCCAGATCCTCGAGTTCGGCCACTTCCGTCTCTCCATCGAGAACAGTAATCCGTATATCCATCGGAGTCCCCTGGCCAGATTCGTCAGACTCGTCAGACTCGTTAGACTCGTTAGATGCGAGGGGCTGGTTGTCGTCCTCGGGGATAATAATGAGGAGGTTGATGCCAAATCCTTGTGAGACAATGACGGTCTCTGGCGGTCCCTGGATGTATGTGACAGAAGGACGATACCTTGCGTTTGGATCCTCAGCAGGAGAGGGACCGTTGCGAGACTCAGATTCATCTTCGATGGGTGGCATTTTGTGTAAGTAACCCTGACTTTCGATAAGGGAGATGTCCTCGTAAATTATGCTGCCTCAGGTATTAGTACTTGCATAAGACAAAACTGAAATGATCTTGCTTAACTTACCAGATAGCGAAGTAAGTTAGTGGTATAATGAAAATGTGTCGTTTCTCAGATTCTGTCAAGGAAGCAAATATGCAGAACAGGCATGCCGGATGACTCTTATATAGTTGTGAATACATGTATGGAGTCATCTATGAAGTCATCTATCTTATGGGGAAAAAAAAGAATTCTGACAGTAAGCGCCCATCCTGCTGCTTTATTTGCCGGATCTTCACTCCCAACTTCCTCATCTTCTGAGTCATGTCTTTTTGGTAAGTATATTGTCAGTTGGAGTTAGTAAAGGATCTTGGAGGCACTATCCTGTTTTGTTTAAAATAAAAAGTTTGATCACTAATTAGAAATATGAGCTGGGTAAAATTAAAAGACCAACGATAAATCCAGTAGTAGTGGCTAAAATTTTTGCAGGCTTTGACTGAATGTTCCATGTCCATCCATCCATCTATGTATGTTATTGCGTCGCTTCGAATGACTATCTGCTAGCCTCCAGACATGACAGCAACAGCTCTCGAAAGGCATTTTACTTTCTTATTTAGAAGTAAAGAGACAAAGAAGGGAGACAAGAAAAAAAATCAAATCAGTTGAATATATACAATATGTATATGTACATACATATAAGACATAGAAATGAATAAGAATTTAGATGGTTCTAATAGCTAGATCTACACTATGTGGAAAGAAATATTGCACAATCCCGAAATTATCTCCCCACTTAATAAATAGCATCAGTTCCACAAGAGAATGGTGGCTTGCTGGTTGTATTCTGGTTTGATGGTAGGATACTTGCCTACTTAGGTAAGTAGTAAGGTTTACAAAGAACTATGTTTATGGCCCAGGCCAATCGGAACATGATAGTTAGGCATAGATAGTTAAGGAGAACATAAAAAAAAGGTATTAAAAAAACTACATGCATTTTAGGCTACATTCTAGTTATATTATAATCGCCCTAATTAATAGCATTATTACCCCCCATTCTGGTTAGGAATTTCCACCACGACCTCCCTTGGGACATACAACTGTATGTGTAAGCTAATTCAGTTCCTCTCGTCAGGTTATCAGTCACTCCTGTCCTGGTTCGTCGCCATCCGGAAGCTGTTCTCAGCAGACGGCCCTGAATTTATTCCTTCCTCGGGGTGAAACAAAGGTGCAGAGGCGGCAGGGTCACCGTGTAGGTGTCCATCACCTCGGTATCGAACTTCACCCCGTTCTCTCCCGGTGCGAAGCTGACGTCGTACTCCAAAGCGACCCGGGACAAGACCATGCGCAGTTCCATGAGCGCGAGGTTCTTGCCGGCGCATGCAAACGTGCCTGAAGAGGTAGACGTCAACTGGGATCAGGGATATATAAAGAATTGGGGAAGAGAGGCAATGGTAATTCTCTACATACCTCTCGTAAACGGTATGAACGCCGACTTCTCCGGGGAGATTCTTTCCCAACGCTCGGGATCGAAGTCGAGGGGCCGTTCGTAATATCGCTCATCACGCTGGATCGTGTGCGTGGGCACTGCAACAATGGTGTCCCCTGGGATGTAGACTTCGTCGATTTGAATTCCCTCCGGGGGAGTGATGCGAGGCAGCCCCGAAGGGACTGGAGGCTTCAGACGGAGCGTTTCGTTGATGATGTGATCCAGGTACGGGAACTTCATCTTGGCGTAAGACCAGTCTCTCACGCCATTGGGACAGAGCTTGTCGAGATAGCCCTGCAGCTTGCGCAAGACGGGGGGATTTTTGGCCAGGAAGTAGAAGGTGTTGGCCAAGGCGGCGGCAGTGGTGTCGCTAGATGGTATTTCTCGTGTCAGTGTATCTTTCCAGTTGGGATGCAATGGAAAGAAGGAAGAACGTTTAATACCTGCCAGCGACGATGAGGAGACGTGAGTCCTCGCCCATTGCAGCATCACCAGGGGGAGCAGACCCGTCACCTTCGTACTTGGCTTTTAGCAGCCACGATATGATATCTCGAGGGTCCTGGTCTTTGGACGTCGTCTTCTGCTTCTCCCTCAGCTGGTTCGAACAATAGTCGAAGAACGCCTTGTAAGATCCGGCAACGCCTGGAATCGTCCCGAGGACGTTCACAAGCCATGGCATGGTCGCAAGGATGCCGATGGCGATCATGTGGTCATGGAGACCCTTGACTGCGGCATGTTCGGTCTCTTGTGTCAGCATCTCGAAGTCTTTGCCCAAACCAACATCCCCCATGACATCGAAGGTGTAGTACATCGCCCACTTGGTGATGTCCAATGGTTGACCTTTTTGAGCGGCGATTTGCGAAAGGAACAAACTGGTTTTCGCCGTCACGCGTGGTTCATAATCGAGCATTGCTAAGTCTACCAGTTAGCAGTGTCACAGTCTTGGGTCTTGGGTCGTCCAGCTTCAAGTTCACCTTTGGTACTGAACGCTCGATCCCACGCTTTTCTTCTCCGTCGGTGGCTGTCCATATTTCGAGTCGCGTTGAGACCGCACCTCCTGTCGTCGGGCGACACTTGGCTGTAGAACGTGCTTTTAAGAAGTTTGGACCTAGGGCCATAGATGGCCTGAATAGCAGAGGCTCTGTTGATGGAAATTTCACGAGGCCCTAGTGCATGTCAAATTCAAATTTCGTGAAGGGAGCTGCAATGCAACATACCGATGCGCACAAAGTCGCCATACTGCTTGTGCAACTTCTCAACCTCAAAGGCGAATCGAACATTCTTGGCCGCCACTCTCAACGCCCAGAGTCGGGACAGTTTGGCCCCCCATGGACCCGGGAAGCAGTGCAGGCGATGGAAATACAGTCGATAGATGGCAATGCTGCCAAAAAGACCCACGTTGAACGCGGCATTGACGAGAGCAGTCTTACCGACTGCTGCGGTGACGCCAAACCCTGCCTGCGAGACGAGGCTGCCGAAGAGGACCAGATTGAGGGCGATGGAGATGCCGAACAGGGTCCACAGTTTGAAGTCGATTTCGATGGGGCGGATGCTGTGGTGGAAAAGCACGCCGAGAAGAAGGGCCGTTGCTGCGGTGGTGCTGAGGTCGGCCTGGAGAGCCTGCCGGAGAAGCGCCGCAGACATGACGAGGAAAGTGCTATCGAGGTTGGGTACAGATTCGAGATTCTGTTAATGCGGCTTGAGCAGCAGTTCCCGCATGCGTGGTGGTTGGGCAGGGCACAGAAGGATCTCAACGACCACATCAACTACGACTGTAGCCGTGAGAGTAGTCCACTTGAATCACTTGGGAGACTCGACTCGGACCGAATATATTAATAATAACAGACAAGAACCCCACACGTGGCCATGGCAGCATGCAGCCAGCATGCAGGTGTTGAACCAGACCGTCCGTCTCGCGATGTAACCTGATTTAGGATACTAACTTAGATGTACCACTAATCACACAATGCATGACTAGTACCTGCTAAAGTCAGTAAGCGCAGTCATTGTTTGGTTTAGGAAGTCAACCAAATATAAGTACTCCGTATATAGCTCACCACCATCGCAGAGCTCCCTCCTGGCTGTTGTGAAGCCATCGACCCAGTCAACAATGCCAATGATGATCAAGCGACCAGCGTCCCGCTGAGACTTTGAGTACGGAGTAGTCCCTTAACAAACCTACGAGAATGGATACAGGTATTAACCCGATCGGGAAAGTCACAGGGTCCGCCCGCCCTAACTGGATAGCGTACTCCGTAGTTCTCTCCACCTTGTCCACCTGCAGTTCCCAGCGCCTTGACCTTCCTAATCAGGTTAGGCGTCATCTTTGCCGCTTCAACATCCAAGCAACATCCAAGTTGTTGGTGCCTGACCCATACGGCATTCAGGCAGCTGCCAGGTCTGACCAATCAGCTGTCAGTCACCACGTGACCGCCAAACCGGCCACGCAGATTTAGAGCCGACCTCAACGCCGGCTCCTAGTCAGTTCTTCTTTTTCTTCCCCAGAGGGAGCAATAATATATTGATCTTCTATGCCTAGATAGACTTCATCTATTTCCCCACTGAGCTCTCGGCAGCCTTACGCCGAGAGGTTATGAGCCCGGCAGCACTGGCAGACGACTGATAACGACGTTGTCTGACTTACAATTCGAATCGATCGACCTGACTGGCAAGGTGCCGGGGTCTCGCTCCCTTGATCGACTCGAATGGACTTGAATACAGAGTAGATTACTCTGAAAACGATCTTACACACGGATCTGGAGCTCAGAACGGCTTCATACGGTTCCATACAGCTTATATGGCTAACTTGACTCAATTGAACGATTAAAATGTCGACTCAGCAAGGCGATGGACTGTCGCCTACACCC